ATTTTTATTGTACATTAATTTTTAAAAAATGTTTAATAGATTAATAAATAGGTTAAACAAAGCGTCTCCATTATTTTAAAATGTGTTATAATAATAGGAACGAAAAAAAACAATGTGAATATTGTAAATAAATAGAAATATGTAAACATTCATATCAACAAGCCGTCTTAGCTCAGTGGTAGAGCGCGTGGCTTTTAACCACGTGGTCGTGGGTTCGATCCCCACAGACGGCGTTCGTAAGATTTTCTCTTTTATAAAATTCTCTTTTTTCTTTTTGTTTTAAATCGTTGTTTTTCTTATTATTAACTTTTTTTTTTCTTTTAATCAAATATATATATATATATATATATATAAGAATAAAAGATTAAAACTATCGATCTTTAGTGGTAATTGAGCATATTCAAATCAACATGTAAGAATCAACTACTAGGGAGAGAAAACGAGCTGAGAGACAAGTAATATATTACATGATAACCTAAAAAAAACAAAAGTGTAAAATATATGCCTAAATTTTTAAAATTATGAAACATTATTATTATATCTAATAATTTACTAGTCATCTTTTTTGGCATTAAATTAAACTTACAACTTCCAACCCAAAATTAAAAAACTATTTTATTTTAGATTTTAATATGAGATAAGAATTTTGAAAACTATAGCTGATAAAAGAAAATTTAGAAAAAAAATTATAAATTTAAAATTTTAAAAAACATAGTGATTATCAAACCGAGCATTAAATTACCTGAATGCAACAGCATAAAACCTTTCAAACAATGAAAGGTTCGAGAGCGTAATAAGAAGAAGAAAAAAAAAAGGGTGAGGAGACCATGTTGGAGAAGGGGAGCACGTGCAAACAGTTTAGAAATGAAACAACTTGCACGTGCCCTGCTTCTCCAACGAGAACTTCCTCACCCACCATTAAACCTCGAAATCCTGTTCTCTCATCTTTCTCAAAAGGTGAAACATGGAAGATCAAGAAGAAGAAGAAATGGGTATTTATAACAACAACTTAGGGCTATCTTTGGAGAGAGAGAGAGAGAGAGAGAGAAAGAAAGGGAGAAAAAAGTGAGAAGAAAAGCAAAATATTTGGGTTTAGGGTTTATGCCATACCCTCATTCATTATGGTGTAGTGTTTGTTTGTAATGCAAGAAATTTTAAATGACACAAAACAAGCCTCTTCTTCCCTCATAAATACTTCACCAACCCAATTTCTCCCTATATGCAGATTTTATGACGTAAAATCCCCATAGAAATATACCATTATCAAAATTAACAATTTCAAAAGAACAGTACAACAAAGAGTCGAACTTCTAAACCTTCTAAAGTTCAAGAAAATTCATGATAGTTTACCGATTAAACTATGTTCATATTGACTAATTTCCTTTCTCGACTTCAACAAAAAAAAATAGAATTAAATAAACTACGTTCATGTTAGCTAATACGAGTACGCGGTATGAAAATGAATATGCATCAGACCTGGTTGGAATAAATAAATGGCAAACTTTGGATCCATCTCTGAATCAGCAATAGCTCACCATGTCAGAGTCCCCACAACCTGTTTTGCATTTTCTCTCTCTAACCATGAAAATTCAAAATTATATCAGAAAAAAAAAACTTGGAGAGAGGATTTGAATTGAAGAATGAGAATAATAATAATAATGTTGAGGAGATGAGAGATTGCGTGTTTGGTTTCATGGGTTTTGAGTATGGAGGAAGTTTTATCAATTATTATTATTATTATTATTACGATAGTCAGATAGCCCAAATAGCTACATGTCGTCTTATTCTCGTCTCAAATCGAACATAATTTAGTAAATAAAAATTAATCTCATACACCTTTTAAATTTTCATTATTGTCTCTATACAACCGAAATTAATATTTACTAAATGGATCTTTACCATATAACGACCAAATTTCATTAGAGGACATTTCATTACAATAAAAAATGGAAAACGGGCAAGTCAAACAACTTTAAAAAAAAAAACAGAACTTTAGACTAAATTCAAAATGTTAAAAACTAGAAAGAAACGCATTTTAGACTATAGTACCTAGAATTAATTGAATGTTGCAATTTTTTCTTCTATAGTACCTCAACTTGACATGAGCGTTAAAGGAGCTCAAGAATCAATTTTCTTTTTATAAGGGATAAATCATTTATTTTGGCTTTTTGTTAGGTGAGTCTTGAAAGATATGAAATATTTCCCTTTAAGCCGTGTATACGGCTTTTTACTCAACTCTATATATCGATGAGATCAAGTATAGAATTCTATTTACTCATTTTAAATTGAGTATTTGTTTCTCCCTTTTCTGTTATATTTTACATATCTATTAATATTAGTGAAGTAAGATTTTGATAGGCTTAAATCAAACCAAACGAGTAAATAAGATTTTGATAGGCTTAAATCAAACCAAACGAGTAAATAATACGAAGAGTAAAGATGTAATTTGAGGATAGATTGAGGTGAGGTCAGCCAGGAATCTAGAGGGAGACTTTTGAAAGAGAAGCGTGTTGAGATTTACAATTGGACATGTTGATGAAGGGAATTGATTTTTTTATTATTTTTTTTTTGGTAGTGGCGAATGAGGAATGAAGAACAACAACAGAACAAAAAAGTAAGGGGAAAAAAGGTTGTACCTGTTGGGTTTGAAATCTTGGTCTCTGCAATTGATTTTGGAAACTGACCGTAGAGATTATAGAATCTTTTTCCTCGATCTCTCCAACACCATCACTGCAACAAAAATGGGGTTAACTTGTTGCCCATTCACACATCATTTCTTTCACTGCTTTTTCGTTTAAAGATGGACGTATGGAACATGGAAAATGTAACTCAAGCAATGATGTTTTTGGTAAAAAAAAAAATAAAACACTTAAGATTTTTCGTCATTTCAAAACAACCGTTAGAGAAAAAAATCTCTAGAATTGAATTGCCCTACGCCTAAAATTCGAATCAAGATTAGGAATTCAAATTCAGCACCTAATGGCCCGACATTCTCCTACAACATGGTTATGTTACCTATAATAGACCAACACAAGTCCTTTCAACATGTTTTATTCTTACTCACATGCATCCGAAGAAAATTCCTAAGAGGCCACCTAACATGAAATTGCTCCAAATATAACACGTTTAACCATAGAGTTTTTATAATTGAGGCATAAAAAAGAAAACTGCACTTTTTTGGTATAAGTAGTAACTTTCACCTATAAACCTTTTTTAGACCTTCTGTTCTCAAGATCACACTTGAATATCTCAGTTTATTTATACCTTCTGTTCTCAAGATCACACTTGAATATCTCAGTTCATTTATATATCTCTCATTTTTCAAGTGTCACAAGAATATCGGACAAAATAAATATTTAGACATATCAATTTTTCGTTTAACATTCTAACAATTTTTCTTCTCGTATTTAGATAGTTTTTTTAGTTTATTTAGCAGTCAAGTATAATAATTATTCCTCAAATAAATAGTTTTTATAATATTTCAAAAATCAAATATAACAGTATAATTATATTAATGAATGAGTAATTAGTTATAATCATTGAAAGTAAACTTTTTTTTTTAACCAAAGTTTAATTGAATTAAGATAAAATAAGTAATTCTTTTCTTTAATAAAATTTTATTTGTAAAAATGAATTAAATATATATTTGAATAAATTATTATTGATTTAACCTAATCAAATGATTAATTATATTATTTTTGGTAAACCAAGATCAATTAATGAATTAAGTATATTCAAAAGAAACTAACAAATAAAATGACAAACACACCTGAACATTGCTTCTTTCTTTCGCTCTCTTTTTTTCTCCCAACATTTTGCTATCTGCAATAACTTTTTTTTAATATATATAATGAGGAAATAAACAGAATGATTCTTTAACAATATAACATTACAAAGATAACGAATGATTCTTCCCCATATCACCATAAGATAGTAACACTGACCTAAGGGTGAGGCACTTGCAGATGGAAAAGGGCAATGCTTGTGCTGTGCCCTTCAACGTTTAAAATGGAAACTCGCTTGAATAACATAGCGCATCCTAATTTGATCCACATTATACACTATATACTCATTATACAATAAGGAACCCTGAGAGAAGAATCAGAAACGATTTTTCAGACCAAAATTTTGGTGCAAAACATGGCAAACGTATCTTTGCATTAACGAAAACTGTACCTTACGACGATGATTCTGTTTTGGTTTTCCCAAAGGGACGATGACGCCATCATCGAGCGTCAAAGATTCGGAGAGGTTTGGTTCTGTTTGTCCCACTCCTTTCGTGCTGCAATATCAGGCATTAAGTTTTGACTTGCTATGTTTAGATTAAGTAATAATGACCATGAGTTTAGTTTCTCTAAGACCTCGGTAATAACAGGTCACAAAGAGTCAAGCAAATACATGAAACTTTTATATGAGAAAATTTAAAATATATGAGCCGTGTTTACTTTTTCTAGGAGGTCGGTTTAAGGGGACGATCGTAAATAATTTTCACGAGAAGTGATTTTCATAATAGTATCATGACCTGATGATATGAAAAGCAATCTGTTATCTTATGCCATGGTCAATAAGCTTGAAAAGACAAGGGAACAAACCTCAGCTTCCCCTCGGACAACTTGTCAGCATCGTAGTTTGCTTCAAGAAGTTCGACCATGTCACCGAGCGCAACCTAGAGTTTCACAGCTAAACAATTTTATTATATTCAATCAATACAGTGGAAGGTTAGTGTAATCTTCACAGCAAGGATGAATGATAAATAAAATTAACACCACAACTAAACATGGGGCAGGTATAATTAGTCGTACTCAAATCAAATTTCCAAAGCCAACATTTCAAGTGGCACATGACCTGAGCCACTTTGGAACTGTTACCAATTTCCAAATAGCCATAAAATGAAAATATGACATCCAAAAGCCAGGAGCTCATATATATTATTCGTACGATGCACGAACTCCACCTTCCATATTTTTCATGTATACCATATAACGTAAACGCACTAAAAGGTAAATTTGGTGAAGGAGTTTTCAGTGAGTAAATGGAAGGGACAGTTGAGAATTTGTCCTGGGAACCTCGAAGGTGTTTAGGGCAGCGGCTACTTTTCAAGTATATTATTATTAGCTACAGTTCAATAAGGAATATAGAGAAAGTTAAGGAAGAAGTATTCTTAAGTTACTACACCATCCCACAATATTTAGTGACCTCATTCAAATTCACTCCCAGAAAATTATAAAAATAAAAAATAAAAAATAAATAAAAATTGCAGCCTTCGTTGTAAGGTGAAGAACTACCTCACACAAAAGAAGAACACCAGTTGAGGCGACATTAGATGCATAACAATAGTTTGCACTTTTTGAAAACATATCAGCAAAGTAGACCCCCTTTCCAAACATATAACCTGTTACAGGTGCTTCAGGTGGAGCTATGCGTAGACCTGACAAGTTATGCAATTTGCATTGGGCATACCGTAGTTAGACTGAGCAACCACAAATCAAAATTAAGTAATCGCATAAGATCATGCGAGGAAAAGTGAAACTAAAAAAAAAAATGATGACCTTGGGAGAGAATGCCAGTCCAATTTGTAAGCCGAGAACCATGCCACAAGAGCTTCCTGTTCTTTGTGTTAGAAAACTATTCACAGTGTAAAAGAGAATAATTAATAAATAGGATTAAGTCTTTAACAAATACAAGAAAGTAAACGATGACGCCACAGGTAAACGCCAAGCACCTTTTCGAAACGCTCATTTTCTCCCTTCCTTGATACCCTAAATATTTGAACAATATCAACTGTATAATTTGAATGCGTTTTCGCATGTGTATTCAATGCATACTTTGAGACCTGAAAACAAAACAAAGGAAACACAAAAACCAAAGGCTTGTTATTTCTGACCAGCGCAAATAGAGATGAACCCAAGAGGAATGGCTATTAATCCATCCAAAGAAGATAAAACTAGCAAATTAATATACAATCATTACCATAGAGAATTCCTCGGAATCAACTTCAACTGGTGCAAGTTCACAATGAAGGCGTTGGTAATGAGAATACAAGGGGTCTTCCTGTAATAATGACGGAATCAGACCAGTAAACACAGCCTAGCAATAGAATCAGCTGGCTAGCATTCCACAAATCCTTGATCTAGAATATATCGTACGATGTTATAATTCACTGAAAACAGTATAGTCAGGACGTACATCAAATGCAGGAAGTTAGCAATTTCAAGAGGTCAAGAATACTAAATTTATAAGTTTATTTTCGAAAGAAACAAAAATTTATTAGATAAGAATATGCATCATGGAAATAGTATCATAAAAGATTTAGAATGTAAGAATTATAAACATATATAAATTCTATAATTTCAGCTAAGAAAGGCGCTTGGACATGGTAATCGTAGTTCAGTTAATTTGCATACTGACTTAGGCAGTGGGAAAGGAATCGGCATATGCTTCGTTCTTCAGACATGACCAGAAAATTCACAAAAGTTTTAACATGCATTGCTATGTTGAGGAAAAAAAAAAAAAAAACAAGTACCCAACAGTAATACCTGCATACTATTAACTTCCTCCAACAATTTTGTGGCTAGCTCAATTTCACCCAACGCCTCCACCTTCAAGTCAATAAGTACAAAATCATATAGCAGCCAAATATTTAAAGTCTTCTTCAAAATAGTTTTCATTTCCCTAATTATGTCATTTTGGGAAAATCTACATAGTGGAAAGCTTAGGGAGCTTAGAATAACGAGTAACGCCAGCTACTTCAATGGAAAAGGGAAGACAACCATACCATTTCCAACTTGCTTTTCAATTTTTGAGGGGTGTCAATTACAAATTCTCCTGCCATCATAAATGTCGTAGTGGTTTAGTTGTTAGTTTAGATTAAGGCAATATGCAATGGTAAGAAGGAGGGGAGGACTCACGCATCTTCTTAAATCCGAAGTCATGTGGAATTACGGTGTAAAATTCCCTGCAGAAAAAAATTGCAACACATTTGAATGCAGAAGTCAAAACTGAATACGAAAAATCAGGGTATAGAAGTAGAAGAATTATTGTACTCCTTGACATTTCGAGAAATTGAACATGGGCAGATGAGAAAACGTGCACCAGGTCAAACTTACCCACTTAGTTGCTCAAGTAGCCTCTTGTTTGACAGACCAATCACATCAGCAATCCTTTTCAAAACCTCGTAACCCTAAATAATTAGAGACAGCATTATAAATTTTAAAACTAAAGTTCGTCTCTCTGAATAAATAAATTTAAAAAAAAAAAGAAAAAAAAAAAGACAGGTGGCCAGTGCAGGTAAAATTGAAGGAAAACACATAATAGAAGACTTAACTAAGTCATTGAGGAAGTCAAAGACAACCATATGTGCTTTGACTTCAGAACATATTGTTATGCCACCAAAAGTATAATCAGGAATTTGAAAACTAATGAGCAGAAAACGCTATTCCACTCCTAAACCAAGAATCCATGATAAGCACGAGAAACTAAGAATCCGGCATCTAATCTCACAAAGTATTTTAATGACAAATAATTCTTGAAATTTGAAGCACCTTCCTACGTTCTAAGTGCAAGAAAGCCAATATCTTTAAAGACCCACAGTAGTGCCAGCACCTATTCAATCACATTCACGTTTTAACAACATCTACAGACATGATCTTGAAGACATCTTTGTAAGATTATACCAAACACAGTAGAGATATGGTGAAACTCCTATTAGTTCCATGATAATCAATCAATTATAAATAAATGAAAAAAAAGGAAAAAAAACAAGCATTCTTCTAATGGATATCTTAGAATGTTTATAAAAGACATTCCCGTCACAAAGTATTACACGTGGCGATTGAATCTTAACTTTGTCCAAGAACTTAGAATGTCAACAGCTTCTTAAGCTTGTCATAATAAGTGCAAGCAAGTATTTCTAGAATGTCAACAGCTTCTTAAGCTTGTCATAATAAGTGCAAGCAAGTATTTCTTAACTTCGAAGTTGTGAGCACAAAAATATTGGTAACTTAATATGAACAAGACATTCATTTTGAAGCAGACTTCCGATTCCAAATGACAATACAGGAAAGTGTTACATATCCGATAAACTTATGAACCCAGTTGAAACATAAGCAAATAAGAAGCTTCAACAGATCGAGTACTTGCCTTTAAAATTGTAGATTTGCTCAGCTTTCCAAGTGGCAACTTTTCAGCATTGTACCCTAGGATCATTAAAACACAAGTTCCATTTAGAAATTTGAAAAGATCTCTCTTTAGGCAGTTGTACACATTAATTCGTTAAAAAAAAAAAAAAAAAACTCTTAAAATGGATCACTTAATAAAGCATAATTTTCTTCATATCTAATATTAACCTGGTACCTAGGAGGGAAAAAAATTGGAAGTGTATAAAAAGGTCAACTAACCTATTTCCATCATTTGTTGCTTCATCATACTAATGTTGCAAATCAGAGAGATAAACTTTGCAATGCGTGGCTCGAGTTGTGTTTCGCGAGGTTGAATCTCTGAAGTAGATCCACATTTCTCATTGACCTAAAGTCAACAATGGAATCAGAAGAAGCACAATATTAACTTCATTTTCATTTGGGTACAAAGGTCACTTTTTCCTATAGAAATTAACCTTAGTGGGATGTGCAATTCTCATCTCAACGCAAACAAGATAAGACAATGACAATTTTTTCTACATTTCAATTTGTGGGACAATGATGGGTTACATCAACCCTTCTCCAGTTTTCTGAAGTACAACAGATAATAATTACTATTGCATGTCTACTCAAATATCTTAATCTCTATACCAATGAGTTCTATTTTTTTTTTTTTTTTCTATATAAAGGCTTTTATACGTTAAGTAACAAAAAGTTGATTAATTATTTTAGACCAAAGGTTCTACGTCTTAATCATTTAAGAAAATTCCTCATGGAGAATCTTTTCACAGCAAGGAATCCCCAGCCGTAGAGAATTTTAGAAGAATGGAGAACAATTGTCTCCAGCTCCTATTCTCACTCTATTTAGTTGGTACTTCCCACTTTTGCGAGAGCAGAAAGGTCTAAATGAAGAGAGTGCAAGGAAAGCAGTGTTCTTATTTATAAAGAAAGGTCATTGCCAGCGCAGGGACCCTAGTTGGAAGCAAGATATAATGGCTCCATTTAATGATTAGACCCAAAGTTTTATTTTACAAGACATCAGTGAAAGAATTGAAGATGCATTTTTACTGAAACAAGATTTTCTTTAACAATCTTTTATTCATGCATTTTAATTCCAATGTTCCCACTACATACTTGGCAAGATAGCTTCACTCCTAATATGCTGAGTAAAGGAAGTCAATACCAAATTAAAGTACATGAACCTTGAGATTCTCAACCTTCATAAATAAAATAAACATTTGGAATTGTGACCACTTACTGATAATTCTTTTTCATTTTCGCTGTAGTCCATCTCCAGCCAGGTGTAACTCTTTGGGTGACAAATAAAATCTTTTCTGTCAGACCAATTATTCTTGGTTTTAGCAAAGAATTTTTGTTCAAATTCCAGTATTGCACTTTCTTGTGATGTGTAAGGACCTTGTATATTGAATTGTCCCTTCACACCTACTCTTCCCCACCTGGTGTAAAACATGCAAGTACCGCCACCATCAGATTCTGCAAACGATGAAAGTTCCAGCACTTGATGTATCATATACAAATAGATGAAATTCCAAGACGAAAGAAAGAAAACCTTCATTGAAACTGTCATATCTTATTCAACTATAAAATCGAAAGTTCTATAATCTTTAAGAGTTGAGCTTAAAGCCTTATCTATTTTCCCTTTCGGAAAACAATGCAAGCTACACTCTCTGTATTGGAATTTTTTTAAAAAAAAATCTACACCAAAGCAGTAAAACTCTCCTGTGTGATCAGATGCAGGAATTTTGTTCGAACAACTCATCTACTCATAGCCCTAAATCATATCCTTTTTCTAGGTGAGAGAAATGAGTTCGTATTTGTGGAATGGTAAGCTGAAGTAAACCAGAGAATAACATATT